TAAAACTATTTGATTGAAAGCTGACGTTTCGACTTGACTTTGCAGGTCTTCTACAGGGACGTGTGTTCAGCTAGGAGTTTCACTTAGAACTGCATAATATTCACTTAGAACTGTATAATATTAAATATTATACTACAAGTTCTAAGTGAAACTCCTAGCTGAACACACCTCCCTGTAGAAGACTTGCAAAGTTGGGTCGAAACGTCGGCTTTCAATAAAATAGTTTTACCACTATTTAGTCTATTTATGACCGCAACCCCGGACCATCTCCTTCCTTAATAAATATCTACAAAAAAAGATCATATAAATGATTGCCCAAATTCCAGCAGAAAAGTAGGAAATTTAAGATGTGTTTTTTTAAGCGAGTCATGTTTTTTTTGTTCAATAGGAAGTGATAACTAAAAAATATATTTGATTTAAATAATAGAACATTGTTCCATAATAAACTAGACAAAATTTAATTCAAACGAAAGTACTTTTGGTCATATTGAATAATAGTTGACCGTTGTATGATTAAGGAAGGAGATGGTCGGGGCTGGCGGTCATAAATTGACTAAAAAGTGGCAAAACTATTTTATTAAAAGCCAACGTTTCGACCCGACTTTGAAGGTCTTCTTCAGGGTTAGAACGGACAAGATACAAAAAGATATTGAGAATTATGGCAGTTACATAATATTTAGACAAAAAAATTATAAACAATGTGAATAAACTTATTAAAGTTATAAACAGTAAGTACATTAAAATATAAACAGAGTGAGCCAAGTAACAATATCCTAAACTGAAGTAAATAGATGGTAACAATTGTTGTAGTGTAATATATAATATATGCAAATGTGAATATACTCCTACAGATCTACAGAAGAGATTGAAAGAAAAGGAAAAAGGATATAATATGAAATAATAGACATAAAGGAATGTGGAAAAAGAAAACAATGGGTTTTGAGTTTTTTCTTTTCTTTCTCTATGTCCTTTATTTCATATTATATCCTTTTTCCTTTTCTTTCAATCTCTTCTGTAGATGTGTAGGAGTATATTCATAATTGCATATATTATATATTATAGAAAAATTGTTACGATCTATTTACTTCAGTTTAGGATCTTGTTACTTAGCTTACTCTGTTTATATTTTAATGTACTTACTCTTACTGTTTATAACTTTAATAAGTTTATTCACATTGTTTATAATTTTTTTGTCTAAATATTATGTAACTTACACAATTAATCGTACATTGACTAAATATAATAATTATATTAAGACTCCAGAAAAAAAAAGGTTGTTTATCATAAATAAATAGAGATAAGAAGATGAATAGAACATATAAGATAATATTTAATATAAATATAACAGTTACGCAATCATATTAAAATAAGTAAGTAATTAACTAGTACAAATAAATTAAATAAATAGTTTAAATAAATAAAAAGTACACATAAAACAACAAGGTTAATTTTTTGAATTATAAAAAATAATTGTAATATAATAGAAAATGGTATAGATATAGTGAGATTTAGTTATTAGAGATCTTAGCATTAAACGGTGATTATTATATTCTAATTATTTGTTATGATTCTTAGCCTAGTTGTTTTATGTGTTCTTCTTAAAACTTATCTAATTTGTTTATTTAAACTATTTAGTTTATTTATTTGTACTAGTTATTTACTTACTATTTTAGTATATGTTCATAAACTTTATGTTTATGTTACTATTTATTATCTCATGTGTACTTTCCATCTTTCTATGTTGGCTTACTTAAGTACTTCTGTCAATATCTTACATTTCTGAAGTAAGTTTTTAAATTTTTACCCAGATTGATGACCCAATTAAAACGAAACGTCGACAAGCTGAATAAAACAAATCTAGACAGCAAATTCTGATAATTTATCGTCCTTCAAATCAATTAATAATGTATTAAATGAAATTACTTCATTCAATAGTTAAAAAAAAAAAAAAAGTGGTAAGTGGTCAGATGAAACTTTTTTTTTTTTAAATATACTTATATAAAGGGTGTATCAGAATTAATGGCCAAACTGCAAAAATGAACTAAGGACCTCAAACCAAAAAAAAATTTCCTCTGGAGGTATGTCCGCAAACACTTTGTTTAGGAGATATTGACACCTAAAGATTTTTGTTGTTATGAATTATTTACATTATATAAAATAAATAAAACCTATTTATTTGTTCTAACTCGTTTATTGATTAAATGTAAACATTAACATTCATATTAAATGTTGTTGAAAGTGATTTCCTTGAGTATTAAGATAGGCTCAGCATATTTCTTTAACAGCAGCAGTGGCAGAGCGGCACTGGATATGTGTTATTGTTTCACAAGATTCAATTATCCTTCTTCTTAAGGAATTAAGGTTATTGACCAGACTTCCATAGACTTTTTGTTTAATGTCACCTCAAACAAAATAATACATTAGTGTCAGGTCCTGCACGGCCAATCCATTGATTGGGATATGGGATATGATTGAGCAAGTCCGGTCAATGACCTTAATATAATAATTGAATCTTGTGAAACAATAACACATATCCAGTGCCGTTCTGCCACTGCTGCTGTTGAAGAAAGATACGGTGCCTGTCTTAATACTCTAGGAAATCACTTTATACAACATTTAATATGAATGTTAATGTTTAAGTTTAATTAATAAAGTAGTTGGAACAAATAAATAGGTTTTATTTATTTCATATAACTTAAATATAACAACGATTTCATAACAACAAAAATCTTTAGGTGTAAATATCTCTTAAACAAAGCATTTTCAGATAACCTACAGAGGAAATTTTTTTCTTGTTTTGAGGTCCATAGTTCATTTTTGTAGTTCGGCCACTTGAAACACCCTGTATAAGAAAAACAGGGTAAAGTTTACTTTTCTAATAAAAAAATAAATATATATATAATTATTTATGTAAAAGAAAAACATTAAAATATCGAAACAGCAATACTTTTTTATAAAGTTATTTACCAAAAATAAATTTTGAATGCTAGGAAAAAAATATAAAATACCATTTAAAAAAAAAAAAAATTAATCAACTATGCAACTATGCTTCTATAACCAAAACCTTTTAATAAAATATAAAAAATAAATAACTGGAACATAAGGAATAAGTAAAAATTGCCTACACTTTTACTCATTCCTTTGTTGGCCACTTCTTGTTAGAAACACAGACTAGCTACGGTAACAGGTAGTTAAAACAATGTTATAAATAAAAAGAATATTTAAAAAAAATGTATAAATATTACTAAATGTTAAAATCACACGTATAAAAACGGTTATATCAACTATACTACATACAACTATCTTACCTTTTGACGAGTAACGAGAGAAAATAACACACAAAACATTAAAAAAAAAAAAAAAAAAAGTTATACTAAAGGCTTATCTATCTAATATATGCTCTAAGATTCGCTCTAAACTACACAGCAATACAAAAACATAAAGAAGAAACAAATGCCCAAAAATAAGTAGCAATGCAAAAACATTCAGAAAAAAAAGGAAATCAAAACTCAATGCTGAAAATTGGCAAAATAAAACTCCCATTCATAAAAATCAGACTTCTCCTGTGTCCATACAACAGTAGAAAAGGAAAGGTTTCCATATCAGAAATTCATTTAATGAATGATTTCAAAACAAAAATTGACGTTAGTCAATAATACATTAGAGAAACACAATATATAAAATAAAATAAAAAAATGGAAGAAAATTGTATTTTGTAAATCAATATAATAAATTCTGTTCACTCTAAAATATTTAAATTATATTTTTCTAATCGTTCTTCATACGTTGCCTATAGATTAAATTTAATAAAACAAACATTTATAATTTGAAGTATTTCCATTTCTACTTATACGTTTCAGGGATGCTCTGTTCTCTTCTTCAGCATCTAAAATCATATAGATAATATATTATCAATTCATATCCCGATTTTTTTTTACATTTTTACTTTCATAATTTTTACGTTAAGTTATTTTATCACAGAGTTTCGTGATAAATATTTCCGATAAAACTCAGGATTTTCCTAACTTTGAAACTATATACAATCATAAAAGGAAATGGAAAGCGACGCAAACAATAAATTTAACAGATTCGATGGATTGGAAAGACATGGTAATTAATTGTTTTAAATGAAGTTATACCATCGTTTTCACATTTACTTCTCTAAATATGAAAATACTCATCTATCCTGAATCGGTAACTGAAAGTTGTGTGATGTACATACTAGATTTTTATATAGGTTTTATATTGAACTAGTCATTCAAAATTTTAAAATTTATTACTTTTTCAATTTAATTTAAATAATTTCTTATTTAAAAACAATCACATTACTTTAGAAAACAGAAAATTGATTTATAACTCAATTAATTAAAAATAAATATATTTTTTTTTAATAAAAAAAAGGCAGAAAATAATATTCTTAAATTGAATTTAATAGGTACTCAGTGCTTACTCCCGGGACTCATCCCCGGTTGAATTGAATTGAAATGGTTGAAATTGCACAAGGGGGGGGAGAGGCCAAATGAACAAGGCCAGCACTGTTGGTACTGTTCACAATTTAATGTTGTTAATTTTAGGACTCATCCAAATTAAGAAAATTTATTTAAAAAAAAATTAAATAGGAAATTACTTAAATTAAATTAAAAATGTAAAAAATTGATAACATTATTATTTATATAATTTTAGGTACTGAAGAGGGAAGACAAAAACATCCCTGAAATATCTAAGTAAAAATAAATAAATTCAAATTGTTTGTATTCTTAAATTTTTCACATATAGGCGAGGTATGAAGAAGTAAAAATTAATGAAGAAATTTTAAGAGGATGAACAAATAAATTAATCATACTAATTAAAAAAAAAATTTGGAACTTTTTAGAAAATATTTAAACTATTATATAAAGATGACTTGAGTTAAAATTCTGATTATGGAGGATAAAAGGATAGTTCGAGGGAGACAGGATGAATTTCAAAGATATTTGGAAAGACGAACCCGAAGGCCTTACCAAGCATATGGTCCCTCACAACGATGGGATGCGGAGATCCACCTCGTTCAGTGAAAGAAGAATGAAGATCAGCGTAGGTAATTCCAAGCGGGTCAAGCTCTGATACTAGGTGACCCCTTGCCTACATAAATATCACCCCAAAATCAGTTTTATCAACTATTATGATATATTACAGAACCCACATTATCTTAAAAACATATTATATTATCATCATAATCATCATCAACAAACAATAAAATGAAATAGAAGATACAACATTCTTTCAACCTTGGTCGCTCGCTCAGTGTAAAATAGATTTTTATGAAAATCAAGATAGGTATCGATTCCCATGCAAAAACATTCAATAAATCCGATCTGATAGTGAAATACTTTTTTCTCTTCAAAAATTAACCTAAATATTAAAACAAATGGTGTGTAAATAAGTTTGTTCCCGAAACCGTTCTTTTTTTTTGTTTTTTTTTCAAGATATGTAAATGAAACATGCATTTCTTCGTTATTCTTTTTAAAAAATGATTTATCAAATCACATAAATATTCAAATGAAATTTAAAAATATATTTACTTGATTGTTTGTACTTATTAATGTAAACAAATAGTTAACTTTTTAGAATAATAACTTTTACCCCGAATCATACTCCATTTTTCTTTCTACACCGAAAACTCCAATTATTAATTAATCATTTAATTTAAAAAAAAAACGGATCTTGAAGTTTTACTAATTCCAAAAGTGGCCCTATTTAAATTTCAATGTTTTTAAATTACTATTAAAATAATCTGTGATTTTCCAAAATAATTGCCAAAAATAAATAAGTTATTAATTTATTTATAAAAAATTATTGATTTTGCTATTACGATTAGAATAGAAGGTATAGTTCGTTCTTCCTTCGTCATGAAAAATTACCGATGACGATTAGAATTCATTTTGGAAATAAACGACTCATTTCTTGACTGGAAGGAGATTACTTTTACTCTTAAGAATAATGCATTAGAAACTAGTAATACAAATAGATATGGGAAAGGAATAGTTAAAATCCATAATATCATTTTTATGCAACTAAATTTTGAAGTATTTTATAAGTTAAAAAAAAAAAATCAAAATAAAACATTGAAGTTTCTGTCAAATATATGAGTCAAAATACCAGAATGTGGCATTGTGATAAAACTTGGAATATGAATTTTTTTTTTTTAAATTCTCATCTGCGAATAGCAAGCATGACTGACAATCAAGTGTACCATTGTAAAAATATTATATTTAAAGATACTAAACATGAAATATTTCAACACTTTTTTTAAAACAAAATAATAAACCAAAACAATCAACTTATTTGCAATACTAACCAAAACAAAAATTTTAAAAAAAGTCAGTATTAGTAATCAGGAAATTAAGTGGGCAGGCAAAAATTCCACGCATGCATTTTAACAAATTTTATATATATTCCGCACAAAACCATATTAAAAACTTCAATCGAAACCAAAATCTCGTAAAAAAAATAATGATTTTTATAAAACAATATATATATATATATATATATTATAAAGTCTAAAAACTACAAGTAAGGCCAATTATAGATAAAGTAAAAAGTAATGGATGTAGAAAAATCTTTTTCTAAGCTCATAAAAGCATCTTTAGCACAGCTTAGTGAATCTCTCATAAACTGAAATCAATTTTTAGTTAAAGAGTGACTTTTAAAAGCAAGGAAGAACAAAATAGAAAACAAATTAATACTTAATAAAATAGAAAGAAAAAAAAAACTATACTGAATGAGGAATTGAATGGAAATAATAAGAAATTCTTATTCAATAATCAATCTCAGTATAAAAAATCTCAAAACCTTTGAAGGTAAAGTGTATAGAAATGGGTCTAGTTTATTCTAGTCTAGCCGTCATTCATTAAAAGAACTGACTCATTAAAGTGAATCAGTAGATCTTATCCAATTTCTGAAAAGAATGCTTTCGCCCATCTCTTAATCTTTAATACGACTAAATCATCTGTTATGGGAATTAATGGGAATTATATCACAATAAAATTAAATTATAATTATTAAAATCAATATAACATTATGATCTGATCACAAGATATAATATTGTTGTGGTCAAATAAGCATTTAATATTTATTATTACCAATATTTAATGTAATAATTTTTTTAAATAAAAAAAATCCTACAAATGGGACAACACAATTATTATAGAAAACATGGGAGTCAAAGCCTGAATAAACTACTTCAAATAACACACCCCATGCAAATTAAAAAGTCTCAAAAATACAACAATGCTGTAACCGTAAAGAAAGTAGAAAAAAATAACATGCTTTTTTTTCTTAGTTTGAAATTTTGTATTAAAAAATTATCAAATGTGATGTAGCATAAAATTAAAAAAGATTTTTTGTCACAGTAGAGAACCCCACTTAATTGACAGTAAAAAAAAGGAAAAAGAAATGTCTTCATCGAGTTGACAAGTTTCAGTATATGTGTTATCATCAGAACTAAATTATCCATCAAATTAAAAGTCAATTGAAACATATCTTTTGCTAGAGCAAATCTTGACCTGTGAACTTATGGAAATCAACAGACTAAAAAAGAAACAAGGAAGGATTTTTCAGAAAAAAACTAATGAAGATTTATTAAGTAATAAACAGCGAATATTTAACTACAATAGAAAGTTAAAAATAAGGAGTTATTTATCTGAAGTTTTTCAATATCCTTGTAATTTTCCTATATTTATAGGAAATTTCCTAATCTAAATTAAGATAAAATTATGTTTGGTAAAAAAATACTTTTTAAATACTATTGTAAAAAATAAGTAACTGTAAACTAAAAACATTAAAGTTTTTTAATGAAATAGTATATTTAACTCATCATATATTAACACGAATATTACCCATCAATTAAGGAAATATCAATAATTTTTATATTTTTGATCATGTATTTTAATTTTAGTTTTTATATTTATCATATTTTTCTTTTTTTTAATTGTATAAAAAGTAAAAGGCGGCACGAAATCTAGTCTTACATAACGAATTTCACCGCCCATTTGATATGTATTATTTATTAAATTTAATTCATAAAATATGGTTTGTATTACTAATTGATATGGAAATAATATAATGTCAATTAATGATGTTAAATTGAAAAAAAAAAGATGACAAGTAATTATTATAAATTAAAATATTACAAGTTTTGAAGTAATAACAACCTCAAGATAAGACAATAATTATACTGATAAAGATGACATATATAACCTTAAAAAAAAACAAAGGGGCTCACCCGTTATCTTCGGAGGAGTGTCGACACGTCAGCTAATACTTAGGCAATATTACATGTACAATGTGTACTCAAATTGAAAAATTACATAATATACAATATAATAATATGACGTCGGCGTAATAATACTTGAAACAGGATTAGGAGAAAAGTGCTCGTTCCTAATAAATAAAATAAAACCAGGGAGAAAAAATAAATAAATAAATAAAATGTCTAAATAAAGTAGATCATATAAATCACAGGTCTATATATAATATACCCAATTTGTTATTTATGTAAATTCAAACGCAATGTTTATAATGCAAAAATAAGATTAAAACAATTTTATTAAGATATTTGAAATAAACACATTAAATTAATTGGTCAAAAAAAAAATCTTTAAAATAAGCAACAAAAGATATAGCGATATTACATTTAATTAATTAAGTTTTTGATAATAAATTAGCATGAGGTAAATTTTATTTTTTTTTTAAATAAAAAAAAGCTAACTTCACATCATGATAATTTATCACCTAAAAGCCATAGGTAGCAACCAATAGAGAACTGCATGTGGCCTCTGTGAGTTATCTGCGGCCTCCAAACGTTTTGTGTGATATTTATGAATCTAGTGCTATAATTAATCAATATTTAATTATTTAGATTACAAAAATTTGAAAATTAATAGAATAGAGTTGGAATATATGTTTAAGAGTGTGTGTATTTAGTATAGTAGTGATAAATAAAAATAGCAACATTAAAATATAAAAAATTGTTGCCGATTCCATTATCAATGCCTAACCTTACCGCGGCCTCTACTGATAAAAAGATTCCCCACTTATGACCTAAACTGTTAATTTAAAAAAATTAATAAAAAAATTGAAAGTGGATTAGCATTATACATTAGTTTCTTGCTTCGTAAGTGGAGTGAGGACCTGTAGAATAAAAATGATTGTGGGATGGTTGACTGTAGTGAATAATGAAGAGAACGATAGTTGGGGTGATCAGTCAAAAATAAATAATAACATTTATTTTAATATTTACCGATGTTTCAACCCGAAGTTCAAGCCTTCATCAGGGTTAATCGCTATTGATCGAAGAGATCGCTATTAATAGAATGGGAGTATTGTAGCAAGATCTTGCTACAATACCTCCATTCTATCAATAGCAATCTCTTCGATCAATAGCGATCAGCCCTGATGAAGGCCTGAACTTCGTCGTCGAAACATCGGCAAATGTTAAAATAAATATTATTATTTATTTTTGCCACTTTTATTTTTGACTGACCACCACAAGTATCCTTCTCTTCATAAAATAAAAATGCATTAAACTGCATATAAATAAACTTTAGTGAATGATGATTGAACAGGAAAAAGCGAGAGAAAAAATACCATAACATATGTTTAAAAATTCCTTTAGTAAGTAAAGAACCTAGAGAGAACATATTTTTTAAGACAAATTTGATTAACAATCCGTAACTGTTTTATTGAAATTCAAATTATCATTTAAAAAAAAAAAAAAAAAAAAGAGAAGTGAAAAATGTATTAAAACCATTTCAAGGTTGAGTCAAATCAGTTCTCTGCTCTCTTATTCTAATGTATTTGGCATTGTAACACATAACAGGAATAAAAGCATACTTGGCAGACTTCCACAGTTTTTAAACCAGAAAAACTTTGGCATCAATGCGGCTCAAGATGGTGTTCATTCACTTTAACTAATAATAGAGACTTTTTTTTAAATTTTATCTATTCCTTTAATTTCTCTGTTACACAATCAATACGTCTATATCATAAATAGATACATAGAATGGCCTCGTGTCAAAGACATCCATCAGGAAAATGGAAATTGTATTAGAAGTTGATTCTTACATCATTTTTCTCATTAT